TGTGTGTGTGTGTGTGTTTGTCTGCACATGTGCATGCGTGTGTTTTGTCCGTGTGCTCTCAGGTCCCCCAGCTGGACCGGCTGCCTGGCCATCATTAATCTTAGTCAGCACCTAAAGAGCCACTTAAGATGATGTAGGGCCTGTCTGTGCACATACCTTCACTACTGTCGCAGGCTGTGATGTAGCAAAGAGCGCACACATGTACACGGTTTCTGTTCCTGCACAGTTTCATGTCATTATGGAGATTTTTGAATTATTTCCTTTTTTTAAGTTCTAGTTGTTTCCATTTTGCTTTGTGAGAGCAAAAAAACTGTCTTGCTGCTATTGTAAATGAATGTGGGCCTGGGGAGGATGACAGGGTCTGTGTTGGTGGTCCTTCTGTCCAGGATGAAACACAGACCCATCCAGGTTTGCATCAGCCTAACTCGATGATGGCTACGCTGGACTCTCAAAGCCTCTCTCTGCCTCCCACATTACCCTTCGTCCCTGTGACCTAGTGCCCTGAGATTAACACATCCTACTTCCTCACCACCTACCTCGTCTTTTGTCCCCAGAGCCCCCGGGTCATGTGTGGTGTAAGCCCCAGCCCTAACACTGCAGGCAGTCTTGCTCAAGTCTGGCCTCATCTGCTGCCTGCCACCATGCTCTTCTGTCCCCAATCAATAGTCCCTCACTGAAGTGCTCAATTTCCACCGGGGTGGAGAAGATGGTGGAGGGGAGGGGCAGGCAGGACAGATGTATCTGATTGTCTCCTCAATTCCCCCACCTTCTGCTACTGTGTGGTTGTTTGTGTGTATGTGTTCCAGCAATAGTGTTATGAATCAGTAATCAGAGCGGTGACACACCTGAGCTATGCCCCCATCCCCCTTGGGTGCCATACATTATAAATCAAAAGACTCCATTTGCATACAGCCTGCTTATTATTCCAGATTTTGCCTCTACACTAGTAAGCTAAGGGTTATAATCATGATAATGAGCTGTGCTGACTGTGGGCTTTTCATTATTTGTTTGCAGAGGGGGTATAAACAAATGATATTATTAGTTTTTGATTTAGAGCTTCTGCACTGTAAGATTTTTGGCGCATAGACAAAACAATGGAAAACTTTGCGTCTCGTGCAACTTTCTCGCGCTTTGCTTTACTTTGCTTTGCACACTTGCACGGAGAAATTGAATACTTACAGCAGCCTGATAAATCTCCCTTACATTTACTTCTGTTAAGCTGCTTCATCACTTATCGCAAAATGAATCGCAACAATCAGGAGCCGGCACAGATAGGAGGGGAATGAAATATCCCTCTTGCTGATCGAGATCGAGCAAAAAGCAGAATTTGTGATTTCAGATAGCTGAAGCAATTTAATCTGAATGCTGGATGTTTAACGCAGCGGAGCAATCTGGTTTTTCCCTATCAGCTAGGGTCACAATGCATAGATAGTTAGCTTATGACAAACGCAGCGCACAAGGAGAGAGACTAATTGCAGCGAGCGCTACAAGTCAAGTAATTGCAGGAGGAAGTAAAGAGTGAGTATCAAGGAAAGGAGCAGGTGCTGGTTGATGGAGGAAGCCTTGCTGCCCTGTGGGAGATCTAAGAGGGAGGGTAGGTGTGAGCTGGACAGGGCCTGGGGTTATTACTCTAATTGACACTTCACCTCACACACATGCACATGTTCCCCAGGGGCCAATCAGAGCATTGCGTTTGCAGTGGAGGGAGGATGGAAGGCTGGCACAGGTGCTGCCTGCGAGTGTATCAGGGGTGTAATTGCACTGCTGATATTTGTCTATCCCTGTGTCACGCCACCAGACGCTCACTCCCCCAACACACACACACAGAGCCCATTAACCCTACAGGTCCTATTGAGAGCAGCGTTCCTTTGAAAGCCTTCAGGGCCCCTGTGTTTTACACTCTGAATATAATAATGCACAGAGGTGCCCAGGCTCACTGGTGTCCAACAACAGTAATTGAGAGACAGGGGATGTGATGGGGGTTACATAGTTCATCCTGCTGAGCGTGCCTTCCCAAAGGGTACAAGAGTGGACAGCCTGTGTGTGTGTTTATGTGTTTAGGTTTCTGTTTTTGTCATCGAAAGCTGCGGCTCGTCTCCCCACCAATATAATGAGTAACGCTCGTGGGCTGCAGTCATGTTTTGTCACTAGATACATGAACAGAAAGGCAGAAAAATGGGTGATCTTTATTCCGTGTGTTTCAAACACAAAAGCAGCCTTGCCTTTCTCATATGTACTAATATATGTCCAGAACAGAAAACAACTGGTTCCATTCAGGATTAACTGTTCAGATTGCTGTTAAAGAAAATTTGGTATTAAATACATTAAAATCTGATTTTATTCTTTGTAACATTACTACAAGATGATGTCATCAATTAGTCAAATATACTTTGCATCTCTGTTGACAATCATTCAATTTAAAGCACAAAATTTTCTCACATGTTAGTTTTTATCATGTTTCCTTGTCATGCATCAATATAAATGAATCATGTTTGGAGTTTTGGAGCTTTGGTTAGCTAAAATGATAATCATTCACTTGAAAGTGCTCTGCCGATAATACCCAGCTGTTTATTGTGTTGGCAGTGTTCTTTCTAAGGAGTACCAGGACGCTCTGAGCAGGATATCTGCAGTTGTGCAGCAGCATAAAGACACTCTGGTGCCCGGCATTCCCCAGCTCAACATGTGTGATAGTGCAGTGATGGTGAGACACAATATAACTAAATATGTCTCTTACAGTCATGTTTAAGATCAGTTGTCATGTTGTAAATCCGACTACTAGATCAGGTGCTCTTCTCAGCTGTATACATCAGATAAATTCATATGTAAGTGACAATGATAAACCCTTTAAGGGCCAGAAAGAATTAAAAGTCTATGGGAGAACAAGCTAAAATAGAGAAGGCTCCTGGCCTTGCTTTGAATCAATCGTAGCTTTTATTTTGTTGTTTGTGTGCTAACTTTACATATCAGTGTGTACCGATTTGATGACATCCTCCCCTTCTGTCTGGAACTTTCTCTTTCAGTGTTATTGTAACGGTATTATTTAAAAAGCAGCCTGGCTTTGTCTCCCCAAGCGCCCACCTTATTTGTGGCATGGCACTGCCCCCTGGTGGTCATTCAAATAAACATGCTACATTGCGTCCAATTCCTGTCTTTGATAGAAGTGTGATAATTTAAATGCTTAAAAGCCTGAATTTTTGCATCTTTTTATTCTGCATTTTTCATAAGGAAAAGTACTTTTTTTTTTATCTTTTTAACATGGTTTTGTCATGAGGACTTACTTTTAGAGTAATGGTGCACAAGAAAATGTGCACAACCTAGTAGGTAATACGACCGCTCAAGGTCAAACTGGTAAATTTGAAGTAAGAAGACATTAAAATTTCATGGCACCACTTCAGTATTGGAAAAATACACTTTATGCATGGTATGTATTGGGAAAGAATAATCAGTTTTTCAAACAGTTAAGTTTTTTGATGAAAAATGTTACACAGGGATAATATGAATTCATAGTTTAACATTTAAAAAAGAAAAAGACTGGATACGAACCAGAACACAGGACAGGAAACAAATATTATCTGCTGCTTTCAGCCTAGTGAAGATCAGTTACGACTTTAAAAATCAGCAATGCATTGTACTGCAGAGCAATCATATATTTGATACTTTCATTTTGCTGTACTTACTGTGTGGACCTCTCTGTTTTATAGAACTGGGCCCCCGCTGGCTGTGAGAAGTTGGGAAAGTGTCTGAAACCGCCCGAGTCTAACCCCTGGAAGTGCGACTGGCCACACTGAGAGCAAAAGTACTGGACGCCAACATGAGGAACTAAAACCTGAAGATGTGCCAAGCCATAGAATAGGACACAGCCTCTGTGTGTAAAGGAATGTATTTTTAAACTCTTTGTGTTTTTGTACAATGTTTGAAGAAAAGAGCATTCGGTCAAATCAGGGAAACGTGTTTGCAAACTATGATTGCAGTTATTTTTGCATCTGTGTGTTTTAATCTGCCAATTCTATTTCAACTTGCTATGGAATGGATAAAACAGATTTTATTGGTGTAGATCAAGGATGCCAAACTCATTTTACATTGTGAGCCACATACATCCCACTTTAATTTGAAGTGGGCCATACCAGTGAAACTTCCCTTTCTGTCTTTAATTACACATTTAATCCTTGAGATATCTTAATATGAGCAATAGAAGTGCAATTTCAGCTGCATTTATCAGGTTTTTTTCTACGTGGTAAAGAAATGCTGCTCAAGTTAATGAAACAAGTCTGTCAGCACTCTTACACTGTAAGAAATAAATTGTATGGGCTTAAATTATGAGAAATAAAGATGTAAAATTGGGTGTAAAAAGAAAAGGTGTATTTATGTGTACAGTGCATAGGTTTAGTGGATACACAGGGTATCTTGTGAATCCACTGTAAAACACACACACACACAAAGAAATTCCTATACTATATTTTCATTATTTCATTTTTTATGTATGTTTAACTTATGTGTCAGGTCATCATCAGTCAAAATAAAGCTGTAACACCTATAAACATATAGTTAAAAGGGCAACAATTGCACCTTCCTTCACATTTTTAAATGCTTTTCAGTTAGGCCGGATTAGAGTCTCTGCCGGGGTGATTCTGGCCCCCGGGCCTTGTGTTTGACACCTTTGCTGTAGATGGTGGGTCATTGTCATTATTGTATACTACTCAAACACAGGAATCCAAATTGAACACAGCGTAATCTTGCTGGGTGACCTTTTTGTTCAGGTATAATACATACCGCGCCCTGATGGTCTCCCTAATCGGTCCAGCCACATACATGCAGTGGGATCCACCAGAGCAAGCCTATTGCACTTCACCACATGCAGAATCCAAAGGTAGTGTCACAGCGTGGGGGGTCCAGAGTCTGTGTCCCAGTAGGGCAGAACTGTTTTGGTGGCATAAGGGGAAAGGGCTTCATACACTATGTGCTCATAAAGGATTTGTTCCTGTAGCCAAAAATATCTGATGGTAATTTCAAGAGTCAAGATTAGCTGTATTTCTCACATACATAATTATACAAGTAAAATCTGCAGTGAAATGCTTATGCACCAATTCTAAGGAGCTTGGAAAGAAAAGCGTCTGGACTTCTTTAAGTTTCCTTGAAGACGTTTCACCTCTCATCCCCTCTACCTAATCCCACGAGCCAAGGTGTAGGTCACAGTCAGCCGAGGTTTCAGGTGAACCCACTGTGAAGCCCAGCTTCACCCTATCATGTGATTTACTGACTTCAAATTGCCCAGGATGTGATTGGGCGTTAAGGCATCTGGGAAGGGATCTCAAAACTGGATTATAGATGACAGACAGTTGGTGTTGTAAGCCACCACCTCTGTTCAAAGATGGTTGTTCACAGTGGACATAGATGTCTTCTTTCACTCCTCTTTCAAACCATCTGTTTTCTCTGTCCAAAATGTGAACATTAGCATCCTCGGAAGAGTGACCTTTGTCCTTTAGATGCAGATGGACCGCCGAGTCTTGTCCCGTCAAGGTGGCTCTTCTATGTTGTGCCATATGTTTATGAAGTGCCTGTACAGCCACTTCATAAACATATGGCAGCTTGCGGACAGCTTGGGGACACTCCCATAAGACCTAGAATCTGGGATTCTCCACCAGTTGCTCTTAGAACTGAAGAAGCTTCTCAGATGAGAGGTGAAACATCTTTAGACTAGGATGACCTGGATGACTGAGAAGCTTCACAGACACTTATGTACCAATCTGACTGAGAATAAATAAGAGGAAGACATAGCTTTTTAAAATGGATTAGCCAACTGGTAGCACAACCATAGTCCAAGTATGAGTATCAGAGTAGTCAGAGTGTAGGCTTATTAGGTCATGGTTTGACTCTGCATTTAACTGCTGAAACAGAAATCTTCAGTTATTTCCTGTTGATGTTCAACATTTACTGAAGTTGATGAAGATGTTAATTATAATCTTATCCATCCTAAAAGCAAATATGATGTGTTACCCACAGTGTAAGGTAAGTGTAAGGTTTCTGTTGGAGCCAGAGCTCATTTTTACTTGTGTTTTTCCCCCCTGAGCAGTTATAAGTAGCAGTAAGTGTGAAAATACAGTGTCTATTCTTGTGATCAGTCATTTTCTATTTCTATCAAAGGAAATTGCATGTTTCAGGAAACAGACTGAGCGGGTTCTCTGTTGAAATCAGATCATCATGCTGTAGAATGACAACAAAACAGACAGCCATGGAAGTGGACACTGCTTTTCTCAAATCCAGGAGGGGGATTGTGAAGGTGACAGAGATGGTGAGATATCTGCTTATATCCTCACTTTGGACATTTGGCGTAATGTGGTGTAAAACAGCTGATACATGCTGTTTCGCTGCCTTGTGCCTGTTAAAAAGGGGGAACAGAAACAGAACATGGCGCAATAGCTTCACAATGCTATATGCTTTAGCTGGTAAATGTTAGTATGTGATTTAAAGGCTGTTGCTGAAGTGGATCATGACCTGTTTAATCTTTTTAAATGTCATGAGGAAAGCTTCTCAAAATGACAGTTCCTGTTTTTCTCTCTAAACTGAGAGGTGCAACACGTTGCAAAAAAAAAAAAAATTGCGAAGCAACCAGTGGACGAGAAGGAAGGAGACCTCACAGTACACAATGCAGTTTTAAAATAAGCTGTTATCAAACATCACAGTGTTTTTTTCTTGGCTCTGTTATCTCAGTGACAGTTTCTCTTTGCAATCTCCCCCTCTCTGCTGTAGGTGACTCTGTTTGTGGCTTTTGTGTGTTTCGCTGTAGCCTCGACACCCAAGTACATCGCAGCCACAGCGTTGGAGTTTTTCATCACCTCGCTTCTGCTGGTGCTCTACCTGCTTAAACTCAACAAGAGGCTGACCTTCTTCTTTTGGCCTCTAGTTGTAAGTGATGTGTTACAGCTTTGGACATAGTGAGAGAGAGTGAAAAAAAGTGTGACTGCCTGTTGCATGTTCAAGCTCTTGTTCTTTTCTTTTTGTTCTCCTTCTTCAGGATGTATTGAATTCAGTCTTTGCAAGCGTTTACTTCATCACCTTGAGCTTGATGGCTATGACTTCTTACATTAACACAGGCATGCTGATTGGAGGGGTGAGATGTATTTAAGTGTATATACAGTATGCTCAGTAACATTAAACCTTCATGCATTGGCATAGATTCACTTCTGGAGCACTACTCTAAGTTTAAACAAGCCTTTACCCCTGAATGACTTGTTTTCTTGTTTCTCAAAGAGAGGCGATTCCTTAAAGTTTGACTGTGTAAAAAACGTAAAAACACTCCCAATATGAGTAGCCTACATACACACGAACACACACAGGTGGAATGCAATTGATGTATGCTGAGATGTATCCTCTTTTTGCAGATCATGTGTTTCCTCTTAGCTGTGCTGCTGTGCGCTGAGAGCTACATTCTGTTCAGTATCATCACATTCAACAGGCCGAGGACTGAAACGCAGAATACATAAAACAGACGAACTGCAGCAAACTAACGACAACGTGTGCGCATGAATGACCCCAACCCGCTAACTGCTTTTGCATTCTGTGCGTAGTTTAAAGGTTTAGCTGTAGAAGTGTTTGTTAGTTTATCCACAGGCATATTTGATTCTGTAACTAAGCATGGTGTGGCTGTTTAAGATTTCTAAATTGTAAAGGGAAAGAGAAAAAAAAATATCAATAAAGATTTTTTTTTCTTTGTGACATCATGAGTTGTATATTTCCGCCGTTGTGTGCAGCTGGGGGCATCGCATTTCACATCTGGAGAAAGCAGATGTTGCGCTTCTTTTTTTCTGGCGCTCGCGCTGCATTTCCGAGCTTGTCATTGTTTCCGCTTCCACCTCAGAGAAGCCTCACGCCTCCTCATATCTCATTTGAGTGTGCGTGTGTGTGTGCGTGTGTTTATTTTGCACTAAAATCGCTGCAGTACTTGTAGTTTGAGCAGCCCGGAGCTCGAGGAGAGTTTTTCTTTTCATAACAATGGGGGACATCGAGGCTCCCAGCTCGAACCGGCCGCCCCAGGCTGTCCTGAAGTCTATTCTTCCCAGCAAAGAGTTCGTCACATCCAGGAAAGGAATGCTGCTTATTGCTGAAGTGGTAAGAAATGACCCGATGAGCCAGGCCAGCAAATCTGAGCGCCAGTGGACCGTTGTTTCACCAAAGGCGCAGAGTTGTGGGTAGTTTCTGGCAGTTTTGGCAGACACTGCACTGTGTTGATTTCAGCGCACATTCAGAAATAACTTTAAAAGCTTGGTTAACTGTCATTTTAGGTTCACCGTTCCGTTAGGTCTCCTTTAGAAACGGGAAGAACAGTAAGTTTAAAGCAGCCGTGAGACAAGCTTAGGAAACTCTGACTAACTGTATACTGGATCGTACTGGTTTGGATGGACACGCGGTGAAAAGCCTGAGGTAACCACTGTTGTCCACGCTGTCAGTGATCCAAGTAAACCACGGTGTAATTCCAGGCTCTCTTTTGTGCACACTTCATTTCAAGTTCAAATATCCACGTGTATTGAGAAGAACTTGGGTTTTTATTGTCGATTTCAACAAACCAAATACTGAAAAGCTGTCTGCGCCATGGTGTTAGTGTGAGATTACCAGCATCGCGAGTTATTTGTGGGAAGGGTCTTCTCGCTGAAAACCCTCAAACTGTGTCATGTGACATTCGGCTCATGCTGGGCTGTGAGTGAGCAGTTATCTTCCCCGCAGTCACATCCTTTTCTGTATGTCGCCTGGAGCACAGCTCTACACTCCCACACAAAGCGCAGTCTCTTTACTGCTGCTTCACAGCGTGGAATGGCCTGTAACCCACGTTAAACAAGACCCAGATAGTAGTGTGCAAAAGTCTTTAGCAAACCCTAATATCTTTATATTTCCTATATTCTTGAAGGAGCCAGAATTTGTTGTGACCAGTAGTGCCAGGCTTGTTAAAGGTCTTTTAAAGTTTTTCTTTGGACAGCCCCAGTGGTTGAACATTTTCAGATAATTTATTTTACTTAAGCCACATAATACTCAGCCAAGAACCAGTTGTATCTTTAGCCTCTTTGTTATTAGCAGCCTGTCGCAAAAATACATTTGTTTCGATTTCTGTGGTCGAATCTTTAATAATGCCAACGATAAGACAGCTTGATAGAGATAAAATTATATTTTTGCACAAACAAGGTGATTCTCACAGAACTATTGGCTGAAAGCTTGGCATATCTCAGCATGATGTGCAGTGTGTCCTTAAAAAAAATCTCAGAAAACTGGACAAGTGGTGGACAAATGAAAAGAGTGAGGTATGCCAAATCATGCAAGAGGTGGACTGAAAATCAGTGGCAACAGGTCTGATGTAGTGTTAATACCAAACTTGATATTTTTGGTTGTTTAAATGGAGGTGGGGAGGAGAGAGGTACAACAGTGAGTGTCTGTGAAACAAAGTGGAGGCTCTGTCATGGTTTGGGGCTGATGTTGGAGAACCTGACCAAATTGGTGGAATTATGAAGAGAGAAAAGTACCATTAGATTTTGATCCACCATCTGCAAAGCATGTGACTGGCAACACCTTCATTGTTCAGCATGACGATCACCCCAAAACACACTGCCAGTGCAGTAAAATCATACCTGGATAGAAAAACAGACAATGAGACACTATCAGTCCTGGATTGGCCTCGCAGAGCCTTGATCTCGACATTTTTGAAGCCGTGTGGGATCATCTTGACAGAGAACAGAAAAAAAGCCAGCCAACATCCAAAGACTTAAAGAAATGACAAGAAAGCTTGCCTAAGAGAGTTCAGCCTGTTCTTAGAGTAAAGGTGGCCATATCAAATATTAACCTTCAGGCTTGTTAGAACTGCACAAACTCTGTTTTTGCCTTACATACTGTATTTCCATCTAAATCACATTTTCCTAGCAAAATATAAAGAAATCAAGGGCAACACAAGCCTTTTGTCAACAGTAGAAGTCAGAAGTGTGTCCTACTTGGACTGTAGGTGAGATACCACGCCTGGTTTAGGCTTATTTTAGGAGATTTGTGATATACTATGCAGCACTTCTGTTCAGTGAGTCCATTCCTAAACTTTTCACAAGTGAAGCATGTCAGTGCATCTCGCTGTATGTGAGTGGTATGCTTTGCAGGATTTTCAAGATTTTGAAATCTGTTTCTTATACTTTCCAACTCTTTGCTTATTTGATTTTTGAAGCATCTGTTTAAATGCCAAACGGTTAAAAGTGTTTTCTCCTTCACCTCAGCACCACAAACAATAATCCACCGGTATAAAAATGAGGGTCAAGTCTGAATGAAGGGTGGCCTTTTCAAATGTTACGTTTTTATCTCAGTGGTAAAGGTATGATACGAGGTATGAAGCTAAATTAATTTGCTTTAAGTTGCTGTGTAAGCTAAACGTCCTTGCAGTAGTTGGGAAACCTTTGAATGAACTCGCACATCTGTGTGCGATTGTCTTTCTAATTAAAAAGATTTCAAATAATACGACACAAGTCCACAGTCGCTGAACTCAAATGTTACACACGAGGCTTCTAAAGAAAATAGATCATACCATAATACCATTGTTGCGCTGCTTGGACATATTAGGCAGGCTCATATATGCATCTGCTGAGCATGCAATACCGTACATAGTGTGTCAGACCACTGTGTCTTTCTGTGTAACCACAGGGTCTACATTTAATGTGCAGTAAAAGACAGGACTGTGTAGTGTTTGACATGTTTCCAAAATGCAAACAAGTTGTTAATAAGAGGCACATGTTGAGGCAAAGCGTGCCACCTTAAAGTGAGGTGATAGACTAAACTAACAATCTAAAGATTGTGAGGCTTCTCAGCTCGGTACGTAATGCATGATGGATGTTTTTGAGAGGTTACAGGTTCACACTCACAGGAAATAAATGTCTTCCATAAATATCTCATGGCATATTTGAATAATTTTTCTTCTTGGATGTTGTCAGTGTTTAGAATGAAACTGGCCAGTATAGGTTGGAAAAGATTTGTTAATTGATAATCTATTAATCAGTGTCTTTTTCCCAGTGATTCTTTTTAATTTAACTGTAACGTTTCTTTTTAATTAGTTTTACATAATTATAATCGAAACAATAATTTTTTTCTTTTTTACTGACACGAGTCCAGCCACACTGTAACAGAATATATTCAAAACTTTACTGTTAAGTGTTACCTTACAGGAAAGTTTTACATCGCTCGGTAGCAGCATTTTTATAGCTGCAGGAGTTTGGGTTTAGGGTTCCTACGATCAGGCTAGTGTGGGATAACTGACTGAGACAAAGACAAGATGGCCGTGGCTGTTTGAGATTACAGCGTCTGGGCTCGCCTTCATTTGTGTTGATGTGGTGTGTCCAGCTCTTCCAGTGGGGAGCTTCAAAGACAAGGCGGGGCTCGGCCGTCTCGTCTTTGTGATTAATAAAAACCAATAAAACATTTTCCTTTATTTTAGCTGCGTTTGTTTTGTGGATGTTTGCACAAGCATACATGTGGGAGGCATACAGAGAAGGGTGACGGAGTAGAAGCCTGTGTGAATAGCTTTTAACAGCTGTATCTCCTTACAGGAAGTGGGCCTGAAGCTGTAATTCACACAGACTAACAGCTTCGGGGCACTGCTACAGTTCATTATTTAGATCTGACTTGGAGAATCCTACTTGGAAATAACTCCACACCATCTGGCGTCTTAAACTTTTTATTTCAAATGCCAAAGAGTTGTCTTATTTTCTATTTCTCCTTGTTTTGTCTTGCTCTTTTTAGGGTCTTTCCTTTATATCATTCGTGTGCTTCGCTGGATCCTCGGCAGCAGCATTTGTGACCGTCCCCCTGCTGGCATTCCTGGCTTCTCTCTTCTTGCTGTTTGGTTACTCCACCAAATTCAACGAGAGGTTTAAAGGTTTCTGCTGGCCTCTAACGGTGAGAGCAGCTGTTTCAGAAAGAACCTTGAAACTTTGCCCCGCATGATCTTGCGGCGCTAAATGAAGAAATTAGTCGTGTAGTGTTTGATTGTGTCTCTGAATCAGCTCCGGTGTTTTTCTCTCAAAGGATTTCATTAGATGCGTGACTGCCTCCATTATCTTTTTCATCATCTCAATAATGGCAGTGTCCAGATACTCAGACGGTTCCTCAAAGGCTGCTGGGGTAACGCTGTCATCATCATCAGCATAGTCCATAACTGAATACATTTGGCATTGTATTCACATTGTATTTGCCTCTTTTTGCAGATATTTGGGTTCATCGCCACCATTGTTTTTGCCGTAGATTTTTATTTCATTTTTAATGAGCTGGCCAGTTTCTTGAAGCAAGGAGGGGAGTCCAACGAGGAACCGTCAAGACAGCAAGGTAACAAAGTCACCTCATGTACATATAAGTACATGTTTAATGTAGTTTCATAATAGGAGAGAAATAGTTAAAAATAAAATTAGTTTTTATGCAGGCTCTGAGTACAGGTCCATTCACTGGTCACTTTATTAGTTACACCTTGGTAGTTGTGTTTTGGACCCTCTTCTTTCTTCTTTGTGGCAAATGCTTGAAGCATCCATCAGATGATGGACACTGTAGTTATAAAGGGATGGAAATGATCAGCAATAATACTTGATAATATTTGTAATTCCAAGCAGAGTTATTATAGTTCCATTTTCTAGTTAGTCTTTATTTCATTTCATTTTGACTTTTTGCTTGTAATTCAGTCTCAATCCAGTTACTTTCCAGAGTTGAACTTCTTGTTTCAGTTTAGCTTTTATTGTTATAAAATAATGAAAACACTTAACGGTTTGAAAGCAGTTGACTCACAGTCTTGTAGACAACCTGAATCTCAGTGAACATATCCATCATCGCCTCATCAGCCAAGTCGTTATAAAGTTTTTAACTAAACTAAAGTAAACTAAGCTAAAACAAAAACTTTTATTTTTCATTTTTTCACATCTAGTTTTAGTTTTTAGTTTAGTTTTAGTAAACTATAATGAACTTGCTGCTAATTGTGCCAAGAAAATATCTCCCTCACCATTACAGATCCAGCACCAGCCTAAATCGTTGATTCCAGGCAGGATGAGTCCATGCTTTCATGTTGTGTAGAGACTTATCAGACCAGCCAGCATTTCTCTAATCTTATATTGTACAATTTTGGTGGTCTGGTGTCAACTGTAGCATCAGTTTCCAGTTCTTAGCTGACAGGAGTGATACCCAGTGTGGTCGCCTGACCTTTGGCATCAACAAGGCATTTTCAGCCAAAGGATATTTTCTCTTTTTTTGAACCATTTTCTGTGAAACCTAGGGATGATCTAAATAAATACCAACAACCATAGCACATTCAGAGTCACTTAAATCAACTTCCACCTCACTGTGAAGGTTAGCAGGTCACCTTGACAGCGGGCTGCCCCCATGTGATTGAACAGGTGTACCTAATAAAGTGGCCAGTGAGAGTATGTGCCTTGGAGTGATTATTATTGCGATTTGCCACTAAATAAATAAAACTGAATTGAATTGAATGACACACCTGGACCTGTAAACTGTTCAGGTAAACATGTTTTTAATTGCATGCTTTCAGTGCCATAACTGAAGTATTTTGTTTCCACACTGAGGTGGCAGCACACATTCAGAGATGGATCATTTATAAACTTCACTTTGATGTCTGATCCCACTGTGCAAAGCATTTTGTGCAAAGCATGAACCAACCCTTTCAACAAAAAAGTTTCATTTCATTCCTTAAAGCGTGCACTCTGTTAATGAAAACAAAACTGGCACCCTTAGACAGTTCTCTATGTTCAAAAGATAAAAAAATGCCTTTCTCCAAGTGCACCACGTTTTGTGCGCTTGTTATTTTCTTCCTTATTGATGTAGCTCGTCCACAGAAAGTGCACCCAGAGAAGTGATACTCCGTCTGACGCAGGGTTTTCTTCTCTTTTTTTGTTTTGTAGATGAATTTTCAGACTCTGACTCAGACTGAAACTGTGGGGATCTTTGGCAGAAGATGTGTGATCATGCAGTCTCAACCTTTGTAGTAAAAATCAACACTGCCGAGCAGATATTTGCAAACACCTGCCTGGTTTTTGTGCAACAGAGTTACAGAAGGACACTGTGTATCAAGGTCAGACTCATTGTTGGTCAGTTTCAGGTCGCCGAACACGAACAATGAAGGTTTTAGTGCAATTCACACATTAGAAAAAATACTTTTTAAACTGATGCATCAAACACGCCAGCCTTCTGTTTTATTGGTTGTTACACAAAGTTTATAAAACATGTTCTTTTCTTTTTTCATGTTCAAGTTTACTTCCAGTGTCTTAGATCATTTGCCACAAATGTAAGAGCTACTATCACTCCAACACTTTCCTGAAGCTGTGAAACTGTTTCTGCTCATGTTATGGAGAAGCAGTTATTAACATCAAAATGTGCATGCATTATGTCTAAATCAGGGGAAAATGCTCTAGCCCTGTTTACATGTTTGCACACTAGAACACTGCAAAATGCCTTATTGAATAAATGTTTACCAATGTACTAATAATGTAATGATGCTGTAACAGGAATTCAGACCAGGAGGCCTGCTTAATTATCCTTTATTAAATTGACAGCATGTTTATAACCCTGTTTCCTATAAAGTTTGCACACTGTGTAAAATGCAAAGATATACAAATCATTTAAACCCTATATTTAATTTTAAGCATCAGATGCTGCTTTCAGAATTCTTCTTATTTACTTGAAAGCAGTAGGCTCATTTAGAGATTGATTACAGCAAAGCTTTTCCTAAAAAAAACTGTAAAGGGGGCGTGTTTACAACTCAGCTGCGTTGCATCTGCTCTGTAGTCTGTTAAAAGGGACCTAAGGAGTCAACTTGCTATGCTTTTGGAGATAAATTGCTTTCCCTTTGTTACTTTCAGAAGCTTAACAACTCCTTTGTTGTATTTTTGTTTTCTAGTGCTCCAAATGTTTTTAATAGATGTCAGATCTGGTTTACAAGCGGGCCAGTTCACCAACCAAAGTCTTTTAATAATGATTGCATTTATATAGCGCTTTTCAAGGCACCCAAAGCGCTTTACAATTCCACTATTCATTCACTCTCACATTCACACACTGGTGGAGGCAGCTACAGTTGTAGACTGACAGAGGCCCGGGGAACGAACCGGCGACCTTCCGGTTACAGATGTGCTTCCCAACCCCCTGAGCCATTAGGTTGCCCCTAATTTAATATGTATGTACAGAATGTGTTTTGGCCTAGTCTCGCTTAGTAATGCACGGCAATACCTGACACAGCTGGATGTAAGAATGTGTTACTCCAAAACCTGATTTATCGTTCAGCATAAATGATGCCTTCACAGATGTGCAACTATACCACTAGGGGAGCCCATAGGCCTGCCCCAGGCTCCCTTTTGACTTTATTTTTCCGATTGACTTGAGTCTATATTAAATGAACTATGCTTATATAATGCAGAAACATTTTTTGCCGCTTGTTTGAATGTTTTTTTCTTGCTTTGTGTGCGAAATTTTTGATTATTAGTGTCTACCCAAAGCCCATGCATCGATTTCCATTATAGAACTAAGGATCACAAACATTCGGTACTGGTTTCCAGCCTTGTCCAGATTTCTCTGGATCAGGTGAACCCCTTCCTAACTTTACTTCTGAAAGACTCAGTTTCTCTGGGATGCTCTTTTCATATATCATGTTACTAATTAACCTAATGTGTTGAGCACCAAATTTCTTTCTGGATTGCACAAATTTACAACATTTTGCCGTCTATTGTTGCCCCTGTAATGACAGCCTTGTAACATTTTACTGGCCTCAAACTCAAAAAGAGCTCATGTAAAAAAAACAAAAGTTGTTTTTAAATTAAAAATCTAAATTAACCCCTTAGCAGTCCTATTAGTCCCCTAAACCATCCAATGTCCCGTGGGCGGTACGTCCGACTGCTAACAGTTTAAATAAAGCTAATTTTGGCTCGTGCCTTATTTAAGAGTGGTTGCCAGAGCACGTAGCAACGCATGCTTGATTTGGTAGGTCTCTTTTTGTTTTTTTCTTGTTGTAACCCCAAAAGGTTTGTGTCTCCTCCTTTTCAGAGTTTGAATGAGCTACAATCAGTTTCATTCTAATTTGATTCACATTTTTCACAGTGTTTTGGCATTTTAGGAAACAAAGTTATAAAAAATTTTGTAGCCTATATTACAAGAAGAGAATGGTTGGCTGGTTACAACCTCTGTCCAACTGTGGTAGATTTATAAAAGCCTATTTTACAATCTGAGGATAACCTTTGTTTATCTTATGTTTATTTCCTCATATGAGTTTCTGTGATGTGCTTGAAGACATTAGAAATCATGCTACTTTGACACACTTACTAAGGTAACACACTTTGTCGACTTCCTGCTCTTTTTTTGTTTGTGTGCTATTTCTTCATATGTGCATATGTGTGTGCAGTTTATTAAAACCATTTAATGCAGTATTACTTTGAGAAATTCTAAATATCTGCTATATAAATCATTATATGTGTTTTTTTTATTTGCATGTGTGATGTATGATTTCTCTCCATCCACTGCCACTACTGACAAATTAGATGCACTAGAACGCCACAGTGACTGTTAATGAAATCTACGGCGGACTACACGAGTGCTACAACAGCACTGAATTAAAAACAAATGACTGGGAATTGGCCACCATGGCATTTCCCGCATTTTTCAGTGCGGTAAATTTTATGGATCTGTTACAGCTGTAGCTTCATGTTTTAAAGTTGAGTGGAAATAAATGAACAAAATGAGAAAAAGACCTTGCAGGTCTATGCAAAATAAGAGCTAAGGTTTCCATGAACCCGCCTGCAATGATGTTATAGATCGTTTATACCCTGTGAAAAGCAAGAATGTCAAACTCATTTTATATTGTGGGCCACATAGAGTTCACTTTGATCTTATGTGGGCTGGATCGGTGAAATTCCAGTTTCTCTGTGTAAAAAGTGTAACTGTGGATTCACTCATTGAAATATCAACGCAAACATAAGCAATTTAAAAATTATGTCTCAGTTTTTCTACATGGTAAAGAAATGCTGTTGTATTAAATAAAATAAGTCGTTCAGCACGACTCTTCAAGCTTAGATTGTAAGAAATAATGTGTAAAATTACAGAAATCTGTAATTTAATTACTTTGGTGTAATGTGACTGGCCATGGGTAGGAAAAACTGTAAACTGTGTTCTTCACATTTTCCAAAGTCATCCAGCGGGCCTGATTGGGGTCTTTGCTGGGCAAATTCCGGCCACCAGACCTTATGTTTGACACCCTTGTCCTCAACCTTAACCTTAAACAGGCTTAAAAAGGTAACACGGGTACAGACATTGTGAAAGTGCACATTTCAAACATTCCCAAATGGTTTTAAATGATTTATTCTTTCCAAGAAGTAGGAGAACCTTCAGTTTATTTGAAACATTCGAACAACATCCCCACACAGTACCATTTTATAAACGGGCACCTTTGTAAAACCAGTGTAGATGTATGTTGCCTGCTTGTTTAGTTTTTGTTTGGTTTTGGATTTTTTTTTGCAATAAAAAATTTGAATAAAAACCTGTCTTCATTTCAATAATGTCATTATAAACCAGTGTGAAGTCTCCACACTTCTTCGGGATCGGATCATTGTTTGCCGTTTATGTCACGACCTGCAAACCAGCAGAAAGCCTTTTCTTTCTCATAAATACAAATTTCGTAACATATTGCAGCACAGTCGTACACAGAGAGAGCTGCAGCTTGATAAGCGTTTGACAAATATGGTCGGTTTATATGACCAAATAGCATAATGCAATAGCGTGATTTTGTTGCTGTACAAATTCTTAAGTGAACATGGTAATAGTATTACTCAAAAACAAACCCATCAAAGTAAGTTACACACACATAAATACGAACAAGATTGTCTTCTCATACGTCTATGTCAATCACCAAACCAAGAGAAACAGCATTAAAACATAAGTTATTTAAAATCTAAGAAATGCCTGGTTAATCAAGCATCTTCAGGGCATTTATTAGTCTTAATTTAAAAAAAAAATCCACAGTCAAATACATTTCTGGTCCTTCACTTATAAACACACTAATGTAAAATCATCTGACTATACACCCGATCCACTGACGCAACAAAAAGATACATTTCATATAAAGACCAGAAGAGGGGGCCATAGTCAACTTGCCCGAATAAGGTTCAGGTCTTAACTGTAGTGTACATTAAAAGAAGATCAGATGCTAAATAAGTAGACAAAGGTTTAACTTCCTGTTTACTTCAGGTGCACTGACCAACTGAAAAATATTAAAGAGAAATCAGTATTGGATGGATGGGCTTTGCAGAGGCTGCTATAAGGGTAATGAAGGATAGGGATATCATAATACATGAAATGTGGGATAATATCATTGTAGATACATATACAAACATTTCAATCAACCACAGATTTGCTAAATGTACCATGTTTCCACCCCACAGACTCATCAAGTCTAATATTTAGAAAGGCATTAGGAAACACAGTGTTTAGGTCGAGGCACCCTGTGATTTTTTTTTTGTAATATAGGAGGGTCAGTACCTGAGAAGCAGTGTATAGGCTAATGACATTGGTCTCAACCACGCCATCTACTGATGTTTGCTTTAAAATTAATCTCACTGATGTACTTTTAAGATTTGTGTTACCTGAAGTGTTGGACGTGTGCAAAATTAAGATACGGATTACCTTATCATTGCTTGATATAACCTCCTCCAGGCTCACAGTGTAGGCCTAACACACATCTATAAGTAAAACTTTTTAAGCTCTGCTAAAAATTATGTCCCTGTTATTGTGTCAAACCAACTGGACTGGACTGGTTATTTTTTCCCCATTTTAAGTGTTGTGGACTAATGTAGTGCATGTAATCTGCACTTACTCCATAAATGCTGACAGCAAATGCAGTATGGCTATAGTGGCTAAAAGTCATGTGTAAAAGTAAGATGTGTAAGATTAGCCAAGACAAGGACAAGGAGACTTTCATGAGCGCATGTATAATTAAAAAATTAAATGTCAGGCTTGCTCAAAGGTAGAAGGTAAAAGCTGTGAGAAAGAACAATGAAGTCATGGTTGGACTGCAGGTTAGGGTTTGTTGCTGGTCCACTGGTTTCCTCATTTCATGATCACATTTATTACCACAGACTTCAGCGGCATGACATAAGCAGACTGTACAAAAGCTGACCTTGTTTTACTGGACTTCATTCACAGTGAAAGACAAAGCGTGCTCAAAAGTCAACACATATACTGGAGCCAGAGTAGGTGCACAGCTGGGGAGAAGTCAGGCTTTCTTTTTGTAGCCTTTCAGGGGAAGTTGTCCTTCAAAATGCTTTAGAAAAACATGTAGATGAAGGGTTTTACAAAGCACACCGTCAAATGTGACCAGGGTTTTCTACTTAAGTGTTTATGTGTCAGCAGGAGCAGCCAGGACGGCTGCTGAACAAAGCCACGGAGCCTCATTCACAGCTGAAGTGTTGTGATGAGAAGTCAAAAGCGTGCAGTGAGCCGAAGGTGGCTGTCTCACTGGAGTGGAAATACTGTTCTGAAGGCAGAGCTGTTTCCATTAGAGTCAGCTGCTGGTAGCATGGCTTTCTCTTAGTCTTCCTGATTGTCTGCCAGCACTCATGCAAGCTCAGGTCGTGGCTCCACCTCGCCACGCGATGCCGTGCGTGCCCGAATGTAATCGCTGGCCTGAGCCACCCCCTGACACCCAGCGCCACGGCGCCACTTCCGCACTGCCAGGAAGGTGTTTATTCCGTACACGACAGTCACCAGGAAGCCAAAAATCTGCACACAGGTGGAAACGGGAAGCAGAACCATTTACGTGTCAACAAATGTCAAAGCTACGTGATTACAGCTCAATAAGCTGATGAGGTTGTCTGATATATCAAAACTTCTACAAGTGCATAAATTAGTGTAATTAAACACATATACAGAACTGTGCAGTGGTAGGAAATTTAGCAGCCTGGTCAGTAAGAAACAAAATCTATGGACATCATCAGTCAGTGATGCTGCAGTAAAGTAAGGCACAAAAATAGCATCCATATCTACACACGTTTATGCTTCCTTTGTTATAGATCTAGGCAGGATGCCACTGAAGTTCAAAGAGTCAGTACTCACCACTGCTGCTATTTCAGCTCCAGTGTTGTGATTGATGCAAGCAAGCACGAGAGATGACAAGAAGAAAAACAGGGTGCTGGTACCTGTGTTAACGAGGTCCTACAGGAAGACAAAAACAAAGATCACAGCTCTGAATTAGTGATGTTATATAAGACTGGGATCACCTGTGATTTAAATCAACAACAATGAAATGTTGAACACAGGATGTTTTCAGTACCTGGCAGTTTTGGGCAATACTAAAATAACATATGAAGTAAATGTATATTTTGATAAAGTACATTTTAACATGGTATGTTCCCCATTGTTTGAATTTATTTGGATGCATTCACGTGTGGTCTACGGCTCCACAGGTCCTCTTTGGTTTTCTCTGTTACGAACTTTGAATTCTTGTTGTTTTTTAGCGTTCTGTTGGTTCTCAGATTATTCATTGCTGTTTATTTTTGAGTACTAGTTCCTTGTTTCAGTTTATAAGTATTTTCATGAGTATTCTGCATTAGTCTAAGGAGCTTGGAAAGAAAAGCGTCGGGACTTCTTTAAGTTTCCTTGAAGACGTTTCACGTCTCATCCGAGAAGCTTCTTCAGTTCTAAGAGCAACTGGTGGAGAGTCCCAGATTTTAAGTCCCCAAGAGGGACAATGGACCCCTTGATGATCCTCTACCTAATCACATGAGCCAAGGTGTGAAAACGGGTGTAGGTCACAATCAGCCAGGGTTTCGGGTGAACCCATTGTGAAGCCTAGCTCCACCCTATCATGTGATTTCCTGAGGTCAGATGGCCCAGGATGTGAGTGGGCATTAAGGCATCTGGGAAGGGATCTCAAAACTGGATTATAGATGGCAGAGAGTTGGTGTTGTAAGCCCCCGCCTCTGTTCAAAGATGGTTGTTCACAGTGGACATAGATGCTTCTTTCACTCCTCTTTCAAACCATCTGTCCTCTCTGTCCAAAATGTGAACATTGGCATCCTCGAAAGAGTGTCCTTTGTCCTTTAGATGCAGATGGACCGCCGAGTCTTGTCCCTTCAAGGTGGCTCTTCTATGTTGTGCCATGCGTTTATGAAGTGGCTGTTTGGTCTCTCCAATGTAGAGGTCTGAGCATTTCCCGCTACACTGTACATCATACACTAAGTTGTTAAGTTTGTGTTTAGGAGTTTTATCTTTGAGATGAACCAGGTTTTGTCCTGTGGCTGGGCCTAAAGTACACTGGGATGTCATGCTTGGAGAACTCGCCCGAGTTTGAAGCTCCTTAGACTACGATGACCTGGATGACTGAGAACCTTCACAGACATATTTTGCATTAGCTTTTTGTTCTGTTAATCCTTCCCTTGTGGCCCTTTATGTCAAGTCGGTCATCTCTGTGTAGTTACTTCCCAGTTTTTTTTGGTAGTCTTTTGTAACCTGTGCTTTTACATTGAGTTCTACTTCCCTTGTCTCATCATCCTGATTTGTTCCTCCTGTGTTTCCCATCTTTTTTCCCCTCACTGACAGATGACAGGCTCAGTTCTACAAATTTGACACAGAGAGGCACAAGGGCAAGACTAATAAAAGAATAGACTATACAAAATAAACCTAAAACAGAATAATCATGAAAATAACCAGAAACTAAAAGAAAAGAATTAGGACTCAAGATATTTAGAAACATGGAAAACAAGAATAAACAACAATGAACAACCTGCGAACCAACAGAACGTTAAATAATAACAAGAATTCAAAGTTCGTGACAGAAAACCATTGATCCAAAACTCCCTTGTTTTTCCAAGAGTAGTTGATGATTCATTTGGAGTTATTCTTTGGTGCTCCTTGTCTTCTTGTCTGTTTTTTAACCTCCTGTTGGGAAGAATTGTACGGTCGTGGTAAAAAGAAAGTACACCCCCTATCAGTTCTAAGGTTTTACATATCAGGACATATTTCTTTCTTTCCATGTCTTGAACACAACCTGAGCTGAATGACAGCACATGATACACTACATCATCATGTCATTACTTATTTAGCAGAAACCAAGCCAAAATGGGAAAGCGGTGCAAGCAAGTCGCCATGATTCAGTAGCTTGTAGAAGCAGTTTTAGCAGCAATAACTTGAAGTAATCATTTTCTGCATGACTTCATCAGTCTCTCACATCGTTGTGGAAGAATTCTGGCCTGCTCTCCTTTGCTTCAGTTCATTGAGGTTTGTGGGCATTTGTTTATGCGACGGCTCTGTTATGGTCCAGCCACAGCATTTGAGTCTTGACTTTTTTTTTGCAATTTCTCTGAGAATGGCACAGTCTGACTTTGGGATGAATTTGCCCGGATGTCCACTTCTGGGAAGACCATCGGCTGTCTTACCTGTTACCACTTGTGAATAATCTTTGTCATTGTGAATGATGGACTTTAAATTTGTTGGATTATTTGGCCTTTCCAGATTGCTGGGCAGCTTCTCTGAGATCATTGCTGATCTCTTTCCCCCTGAACGCTCCAGGCCAGCAAACTGCCAAAACCACAGCTTTTATAGAGCCTCTTAATCCCCATGGAAAGGGTGTGCCTAGTTTTGTTTTGTTTTGTTTTAGTTTGTTTACATGCTGCTTCTGCATTTGGCTCAGTTTTTTTGTTTAATAAATAATGACTCAGTGTAATCTTGATAGATAAAACCTTAGAATTAAAATAGTGTGTTCTTTCTTTCACCATAATTGTACCTGCTATTTATTTCTACACAACATCATTAGGATACTTGTTATTTTGGCTATTTCTAGACTTGGTAATAAGAAGGCAGAATTCCTGAACTTCCCTCTTGACATCCTTCCTCTTAGACCAACCTTGGGTTATAATAACAAATAAAAAATATCCACTCCTGGTGTTTTAACATAAAACTTCAATTTAATCCACTTAAAGCACTCATGGCAACAAATATCCTACAGCTGCCTCTTGCTTTTAGATTTAAATAACTTTTAAAACAACAAAAATACATTTTAAATCACAGCACAACATGTTTGTTACCCCAAAGCACACCACTGAAATAACAAACTAATGTAATGTGAGCTCAAGATAAAACTGAGCTGTCTGAAAGCTGCTGCCAGTGATGTGCATTAGTTAAACCCCACAAGACTAATTAAAAAAAAACTGGCACAATGTAGCCTCCTATTAGTCTAAGGACTGAGCACATTGTGGCTGATGTTGTATACTGAACAAACAGAGCTTGTTTGCACTCTTCTAACCAGCCAGACTGCATCCTGGTGCTCCATATCCAAAAACCACAGGAGAGCAAAGAAGCCAACAGCACATATTTTTTTAAAAGCCACCTAGCACCTCATTCATTCAATTTAAACAAACACTCAGTCCACACATATAACTAACTCCATCCCCCACGTTTTTACACATAGGAAGTAATGTGAAAGAGACAGTTGCTTTTCAAGTACCGCTCTCCTGTTCTTGGCACGCCAAACTGTGGGGAGGGGGTTAATATTGAAGGGCTCAGCGTGGCTGGGGCACGGCCCTCGTGATCAGAGGCGTGATTATAATCATTGCAGACATGGTCTCTCATATGACACGCATGGACCATACAATAGCAAAGTCAAAAAGGCTAGCTGGTCGCAGACTTACACACATGTGCATGCACATACCTCAGCAGGGCATAAAAAGTGAGATAATGTGCCACTGATCTCGTGGTTTAATCAGTAACATAAATACAGAACCATATCTCTACATGTTAACTGGGAAAGTCAATGAACACCACAGTTATGATCTTAACCTTCGACCGTAATCTTAAACCCACTTCAAAGGTGCACACTCAGCGTACTGCAAACACTGCTCGCATTACTCATGCACTCCCATCCAGCTTGTCAAACTGGTTAAACGAGACACAGCCAACCAGATATTCCTGTTCCATTGTGCTCTTTCATGTGCACAAACGATTTTGCGCGTTTTCATGATGCCACTTCAATCCCACAGTCAGTTCAGTTGTTTCTCAACCTCTCTGCTTTACCTTCGCCCAAAAGTCACAAATCACACATGTGATTATATTCTTTCCTGAATTTTCCCATATAGGTCCAATAGAAAAATGTGCATGTAAACAACTAGCATGGAATTTCACAGCCTATGAAAAATTTAAAGTCTCCATCTCGAAAGTTGCGCTCTATCTGACCAGCAATAATGGTAATTGCCTGAATGCAAACATTTTACCAGGAAAGGAAAAGAATAAAATGGGATTCCAAGTGACTGTTGTCTCTACAGTGCTGTTTGGAAATGCTGTTTAACAGCTTACTGTAGTGGAACAACTCAGCATCCAGTTGTGGGCTTCCATCCTGAACTACTTACTTCATTCATGTATTAACTGTGATGAGATACTCTCTGTTCTCAGAACAAAACAACCAGAAAATACTGGCAGGGCAATCGAACGGCCGCTCTCCCTCCAACGAGAGAATAACAACACTATTATCTGTCTCTCCCTTTGTGTCTTTAGTTTTGCCTCATTTCTGTCCCAGAATCCCCCTAGCATGACCCACAGCTATTTGGCTGTGAATGAGGAAAACAATGGACCGAATTATCTGCCTTCAAAAACTAAATCCTCGAGTTTAATTTAATCACCTAAAGTTACAGAGTAGCTTTACAAAAGAGTCCTAGGACTGCATTCATTTCCATTTGGAAGAAGGGGAATAGGGTCAAGGCCTGTGTTTCCCCCTCTGTGCTGCCAAAGTCATCACAGAGGGGGAAGTGGAGGAGATGGGATCGTATAGCACGTAATTGTTAGATTAAGAACCCTTCTACTGAGAGTTTGTAGTTGGGAAACAGAAAAGTCAGCAGAAGGTTTAACAGTTGGTTAATACTGTGAAATGCTCACTCGTGGTAAAATTCCCAGGGGACCAATGTGACCGGAGCAGCTTTGACTACGATAGACATAAACAGCGTGTGGCTGAGCCCACACCGTGGAGTGCGTCCAAGGAACGTGGGCTCGTCAGCTAAGCAGTTTGGAGTGAGAGCAAACACTGTTAAATCTGCAAAGTAACACGTTCGGTAAACCTTTGTTTGCAACATTTTGCTAACCAAAAAAGTCCTTCATATTTGACAAATTCACCTTTATTCTTTTGCATAACAGCATAAAGTCCAGCAACACCAGTGTGCCAAACCACAGGCCATCAAACTCCAACCTCTTTGTGTGAACCCCATGCCAACTCCTGAGCTCAGGCTTAAGCACACAAACACACAGTGTACATGCTAATTAAACATTTCATTATTTAACCATTAATCTCCTAAATGGAAAAATAATAACCAGGCAGAAGTGACAGGAGAAACGCCAGCGGGCTTAAGACGAAAAAGAACAGGCAGTCTTGAAAAGAGCAAACAGAAGGATTTTGGATTATATGGACAGTAATGGTTACAGGTATCTGGTAAAAGTTCCTAAATCAGCACTCCTAAATTAGCCCTGGCCTCTATGGGACTGTAAAACGCTTTCGTTCGGTGTTACTCTGCCAAAAGCAGACGCCAAAGGCACACCCTCTCTTCATGTTTGAGGTGGAATACTGTACTAAGGATACTGTAGAGCAATCTGATAGCTGTGGTTAGATCTGAACATCTGGCTTAGCATCCACATCTTTACTACAGTATGTACTGTAAGCTGGAAGTATGGTCAAAGAAGTTTCTTCTACACGTGTCTGTAAAAGACACTTGGCTGCAGATCAGAACTCACCACCAACTGCTTGTCAGGCAAACAGTTAGAGGCTGCCAGTATCTCCTGGAGAATACCCACCAGCTCATTTTCTTACAGCTGACAGTGCACATCCTGGTAGCAACATGGAAACTGTAATGACTTTGTGCTAGATTTTATTCTAGTGCTAAATACAGAACAATATTCAACAAACAGAAGTTCAAGTAAAGCTTGTTTCAATTTCTTACTTTAGAAAGAAACTAAGTTTCAATGCTTTGTTTAAATAATAAGCTTAAATCTCCTTGCATAAATGCTAAAACAGAACAATCATCAAGAAGATAAAAAAAAGTAAATCCGTTGGGCATCTTTCTTTGGCTTTAGACAACAATTCTGATGGCAAAAGAACTAAACGGGACAGGCAAAAAAAAGAAGAAGAAGAAGATAAAAAAAAGGCAAAAAAGGAAAATCACTGCCTGGCTAATATTAGCTAACCTGGCTAATATTAGCTAACCTGGCTGATATTAGCTAACCTTCCTGATATCAGCTATTGGTAGAGCCTGACTGATGTAAGGTTTTTTAAACTGATATTGATGGCAGACAGCCACCATGCGTTTGTGTATTTTTATTATTATGCATGTTTATTTTCAGTCAAGCAAAAAAATGTGATTTATCAGCTGATATTTTTTCTCTTAGGAAACAAAACAGAAACAGATTTCACTAATATTTGCTATGTGTATCTATTTGTGAGTCCTTACTAAGATTACACAAGAATCCTGTTTAAAAACGAATCTTGTTTTAATAGTATGATTTGCTCTGTATAGTTTTTATTATCATTTATTGGTTGAGCAGGCTGAGTAAATCAGCTGATACCCACTATTTACCAATATACTGGAATGTGCATTTCTAAATAACATTTCTAATTAAAAAAAAGTAGAGATGGGAGAAATACCCTCCAACAATGGTATGAGTGTTACTGTTGTTGTAGTTTGTCCACCAGAGGGAACTCAGCAAGTCATGTTTGGATTACCAGAAACACAACAACCGTCTGATCCTAGCATCTAAACCAGTAATCCACGACTTGTCGTTATAATAAAACAGGATCATTTTTAACCCACACTGCCATATCATTGTAGTAAAGACTGCACTTAACAACTTTTAAGAACATGTTTGTGTTCTGTGTCTGAAAGAAAGAAATATCAGCTGCTATATCAGACTTTTAAAAACAAATATCAGTATCGGTGAATCATATATCTATCAGGTTCTAGTGAAAGTAAACATAATAACAAGAGACACATCAAGCCATGCCAGCCTCGCTGTATTTTACTGCTGCTTAACAGCTAAACTGAGTTAAATGCTAACAAGCCTATTATAGCCTCTTAAAATGATAACAGCTCCTTAAATAGAGCTAAAAGAAAACGTACAGGGAGTGTTTACTGCTTCTAATGTAGATAAAATTAATAACTGTACTGGTCACTGGTCTCAAGATGAGTAAAAACCCAAAGCTTATAAATTTAATGCCATGTAAACCTTTACCTGGACCACTGCATTATTATCATAAGGTGAGCATATCGATAGATTTACACGTGCAGCTAAGCATTAAATTGTAAGCCAGACTGTCGCTAAATATGACGAGAATAATGCAAAATTACTGCTGTGTAAACCAGTAAGGTTTCAGAGGGCAAATTTAAACCCTACTCTTCTAAAATTTCATGTTGCCTGATTTTAAATTGATTTTTTTCAGGATTAACTTCTATATTTGGGAAGGCCTGAAAATGCACAAGCCTCAGGGGAGTCTTCAGGAGTACGATGACCTCTGATGCTGAGGAGTGTTTTGACTCTGCTATCAGCCACAAGGACATGACAACCGATTGTAGATAGTGAACAGACATAACATCTTTCCATATCTGGAGAGTAAGGGGGTTCATGTGTGAGATTAGAACTTTAAAACCGGATGCCGATGCCGGCTGTAATGCGTGCATGAAGATGAAATTTCATAGTGAATTTATCTAAATGCTGTACTATTCATCTGTATCTCCTGAGGAATTATCTCTCCTCAACGGCAATTCTAGTATCATCATAAACTGCATTAACATTAGTCATCCTGTTCTTTATTTAGAGGTTCAGCAGTACATTAGTGTACATGAGCTATGTTAACACTCTGTAGTGTGGACGTACCGTGAGGCTCCAGTTTACGTGGGGCACCTTGGTGTGGATGTTGAGGCAGAAGATCAGGAGGAGGACTCCTGTCACCACAAGAGCACTGCAGCTGACAAACTCAAAGAAGTAGACCCCTCCACAGGGGGAACACATCATGATAGTTTCTATGCAGATGAAGCCGATGAGTGAAAGGACCTGAAGTGAGAGGGAAGACGACAGGAGAGACAAGAGTTAAAATAAGATACAAATAAGATACACTTTGTTTATTCCACAGGTTGGGAACAGCTTATCTCAATAAAATAAATACAATATCACAAAATCAAATAGCCTGGAAAGATAAAGAATGGAAAAACTTAACAGAAAACTGAAAAAGTGCAGTGTTCAAATGAGCTTAATAAGAGACATCTAACAGAGAAATGCAGGTATCGTGGTGTGAGATGGTAAAGATTTTCTGTATATGTCCTTGTGGCAGCAAAGCTGAACCAGATGTTAGAGGAGGTCTTTAGCTGGTGCAGAGGGTGGTCAGGGTCTATCAACATCCGTTCACCACAGCCACAGTCATGCTGATGACCTCTGCATTGTTAACTGGGGAATCCAAATACTGTATTGATTCAAACTGGATCCAAACAAGAACTGTAACGATGGGAGAAAATTCCCCCGACAAGCGATATGGACACAATCCCACAGCTAGAAGTTCAGTATTCAGGCCATAGACAAACTCCTTTACAGTACTGCACAGGACTACGCCGTCTTTACTTATAACTGATGCACTGATTGCACATTTTATCTTATTATGTGCAGCAAGGAGGTGCTTTGGTTAGCATTGTCACCTTATTGCAAGAAAGCTTCTAATTCAAAGCACAGCTGGGGTTTATGTGTAATTTGCAAGTTCTTTACCAAAATACCAGCATTTATATGTTAAGACTTCACTTTATAATCCATCGTTTCTGCACGCCAAAGACAACTGCTGGTTCTAAATTTGGCTATGGATGACAGGTAGATAAAGTGCTCATATATGATAAAGCACTGCACAAATTTATGTTTAAATGTAGTCTCAAGCACTTTGAGTGCTACTATATCACATTTACCACTCTGCAAAAAATCCTGCAGCCAGGTACAGTCACACTGTCCAGGAAGCATGAGTGTGGTGCTAATAGTGCAGGGATATATTGAGTATATTATGCCAACAACAGGTTAGATAATTCACTGGCTGATTAGTGAATCATCTCTAAAAACTAAAACCTAGGTCAGCATGAGCAGTCTGCATTCATTATCCTAGAATGGAGTTCATTATTCAGTCTCTTTTCTGAATAACTGTGGGATCCGTCAGACCTTTGACAAAATATGTCTGACCTTCATTTCTGAAGCTTGGACAAATCTGACAGTGAGTCTTACCAGCGACGTCAGTTAACAAATGATACGCCAGCACATTAAATACAAAGTATATAAAAACTTAAAATATATACATGCCTAGTCAGTATATTGAATATAAGTATAAAGAATACTGTAAGTTATTTCTGTAAGATTATGGGATTGAAATGTCAAACTTTCCAGTTCATAAAGCGATTGTCCTATGAATAGACCAGAGTCTGTGATCCCATGAGTTCTGCTCCTGGCAGTTTGTGAAGATGCCCGCTTCCAGCCAACAGCCATCAACAAACCACAGTATGGGAAGAATTCTGCTACTTAGGTGTTCTTCTGCCATCTAGACCCCGACAAAACCACACACAGATTGCCAACTGCCTAGGAGCAGTCCAAAACCAAGAGGCATAGCAAAACCATGAAAATGCAACATAATACCGACCTGAAGTAGCTAAGAATCAGTTTTCTAATTTTATGCAAACTGCAAAGGCCAGTTTTGCATGAGCAGACGTGAAGGATGTGATAAGAGACTCCAGTTTTCCTTTCTCTTTCATTTACAAATGTTACCCCTGAAAGTCTACGCAATGTTAGTGAAACTTCACTCAAGGTCATTTAATGCAAAACAACAGCAATCACATATCAGACATATGCAATTTACAGATCAAACACAATCTGTTTGACTAATAATTCACACACAGTCATCTCATCCACACTCAACAAAATGCACTCAAAAAAAAAAAAAACTTTGCCAAGGAACAGCTTCCCACTCCTCAGTGTTACTTGGAAGATATCCTTTGAGCTGATAAAACATCAGCTTGCAAGCATCAACCCAGCAGCAAAGCGCAGCGGCATAGCTGAGTATCGTTAGTTGGTGCTGCTTTACTGCCTCTTGGCCTGGATGGTTTTCCATCATTGAAGCAAAAATGAATTTTGATGTATTGAGATATAATAAGAGCCGTCGCCTACTGTTTGCATCTGTGTTTTAGCAAACAAGACCTATTCATAAAAGATCTAAGAAGCACAATGGCTTGCAGGATCTGTGCTTCATTTACTGTATGCAGGTTGGTTGTGAATCACAAAGCCCATATTTGAACATGGAAAAATAAATACTAACTTTCGTGCTAAACAGTTTCTGTTAAGATGATTTCGGATTATTGTAATATTCCATGCAGGAATGGCTTTTTGTCCAAGTTGTTAAAACATTAAACAAGGAGCTGCGCTCAAGTAGCAAAGCTTGAAAGGTAAGATCATTTTTTGCTTTTCAAAGAAAGTTACTGAAGAAACTGGGTCAAGTTTGAGGCAGGTATTTTTTTTATTTCACTACTTGTCATTACTAACAAATCTAAGCAGTTTAAGCGCAAACAGCATCCCCTTTTCTTTGGCTCTGGCTTATTTTAGCTACTCAACTGTCTCTGTGTCTTTTGTTGCAAAAGAAAAATGATCACTTTAACAGCAGATATTTGTCCTTTAACTACATTTTACATTAAAACAAAACATTTATCAAAATAACATCATGTACAGTAGTTTATACGAGTGTTGAGCTAACTCGTATTTATTTTTCTTCCAAGGAGCCAGGCTCTTGGAATTTCCATTTTTGGAGGAATTTTGTTGTTGTTGTTTGTTTGTTTACCTACTCCAGCTGATGAACCAGTGCTGTGTCTACACATAACAGACCACTTAGCAAAGAACCTATTTTAAATTGTATTTTTAGCCACCTTTGTGATAGCCTGTCAATTTGGTATCTCTCAGCATCTCAGTATGATGTGGAGTGTATCAGTATCCATATTAGTATCTGAACGTTACATCCTTAGGAAACACACAACAGAAAAAATCCAACAGAGACCTGACACGCGACCTGAGAGACGCCCCTGTCCCGGTCTGGGGAAGGATGAGTGTCAAAAAGCCATTCTTAAAGAAGGGACGCAGGAGGGAAAGGCTGAGGAAAGCCAAATCAAACAGGATCTGACCTGAACATCCGGTCTTATAAAGTGACGAGTGCGAGTGCACGGGTCAGAAAAGGGGTACAACAGTGAGTGTCTACAGCCATCTGTAAGACACGGTGGAGGCTCTATCGTGGTTTGGGGTTGGATTTTAGATCTTTAAAAAGATCTAAAAGATCTTTAAAAACTTTTAAAAGATCTTTAAAAACTGATGGACGAATGAACGCAGAAAAGCACTATCAGATTTTCATTCACCATGCAATACCATCTTGAAAATGTCTCATTGGGAATGGCCTAATTTTCCAGCTTGACAGTGAACAAACACACTCATCTAATGCAGTAAAAATATATCAGGATACAATAAAGGTGGTCATACCAAATATTGACTTTCAAGCTCATTAGAATTGCACCAACTCTTTTTCTCCTTTCATACCTGTACTTCCACGTATGTTTTCACGTGCTTCTAGAAATCACTGCATCTATTTCCCATTTTGCTGGCAAAATATAAAAGAAGGAGGGATTGCTCAAGACTTTTGCAAAGTACTGTAATCTCTGAGTCACAATTGCAGCTTCACAGTGTTGTGCGGGTCACATGAATAGCTTATTAAATCCCACAACATTTAATAAATTTACCCACATTGTGCTTGTGCTGGCACACCCAGTCAGATCAGGCACATTAATTTAAACAGCCATCCATTTTATTTTAACTGCTTATCCATCGCAGGGTCACAGGGAGTCTACTCCAGTATCCTGCTAATGCAAAGACCATTTAAACTTTAGAACCGTCATCTAACCTGACATGCACGGCGCTTGTAGCACAAAGCTAGAGCTTAGCTAACTTGTGGGACTAATTAAGTAAGGTCCATGGTAAATATGTGCATGTAGGATACTGAGCATTCAAAGAACTTCATTCATTTAGACAGCATTTTATTCTCGACTATCCCACACTGGGTGCAATATGGGGTAAATTCGGATTCAGTATCTTCCCCCATGTGGGCTGGAGGAGCAGAGGGTCAAGCTACCGAGCACGCGATTAGCGGACAATCTACCCTCCCTTCTGACACAGCCAGTTTCTTGGACTCTCGATTGTAGATAAGTGTTGGTTAATCAGTGAGATGAAGCTGAAATAAAAGAACTATCTCTACCACTACACTCCTACACCTTGTTGGCCACCCATCCCTCCATCCATCCATCCTCTTAACTGCTTATCTAATTCAGTGTCACGGGCCGGCCTGGTGGGTGGGTGTTATGTTACAAAGAAGCAAAGAATAAACTTCTAAATGCTCAAACATGTATGTTTCTACACTAGCATAACTAACAAAGAGCAAGTCTAGCAGATTTTATCTCAGAAAACGATCATTTATTCAACCCTGTTTATCCTGTTCAGTGAGCAGAGCTGTTGGATGACTGGCACTGGTAAAGCATAAGGGGAAAACCCTCCACAGTTTGTCAAACTCCAGTCTGATCATTTAAATCTCTGTCTGTGACATTACCTCACAGGAAACCGAAAGGAAGAGAAAATAAGTCGACTGGGCAGACTATCGTTAGGACAACAGTTGAATTGTGTGCAGTTGCTGAAGCCTCATTAGAGTGTGTAGCTGGATAGCAGCCTGTCTTTGACTGAAATACAACTGAAAGGGTCACACCCAAACAGGAATGAAGTGCACTGCACTGGGAGATGATGTAATGTCTCTCAAAGAAAGCATATTACTTCCTCCATGCCCCTGTGTAGCAGGTGTCAGGCAGTCACAGGGGAGGAGGCGGAGAATTGCAAGCCCCACACTGGATAATTTTGTAAGTATTGATTATACGTCAACCTTCTCTCTTGTTCAGTCTATTCATCACGCATCGTATGTGCAGGAACAAATGTGTCAGCTTTCTTTCCCTTCTTTCTCCTACATGCAAACAAGTCCTTATCTCAGGGATTTAGCACATTATTAGTTGCCTTAAGGACATCTTGGATGCCGATCCCCTTCTTATACGCCATCTGTTGTGAACAGATAATTAAAGGAGGAGAATGGGAGGCTTTATTGTTGAAACTTTGCAACACTATGTGCAGGACTTCCACACTGTACTACTTCATGCAAAAAAAAAAACACCTTAAAAATGACCCAAAAGATTGAATGTGCTTTAGCAGGAGCTCACAGTTGGGTATGAGATGGAAAATTTACCCTGAATGCTGGTTAAATTTCACCCCAGAGGAAAAGTGTGTTGCTGCACATATGCAACAGCATACATGTCTCCCCTCGTGCCTGCACAACATTCCTGTTGTCTTTATGCCATCCTGCAAGATCCAAATAAGTCGTGTTTCAACCACACGAGAGTAAAGCACATGGCGTCTCTCTCGGTTAAGGAAGCATGTGCTGACATTTGGGAGCATATGGTAACTTCATTACACAAGATTTGGAGAAAGAACACCTCTCCTTAATATTTAACCTCCACTTGTTAGAATATTACTTTAAAAAAAAGGGCAGGATACACACCATAACAGAAAAGCTGTTATTTATCATGAAGGCATGAGCCCTGCTGGGAAACAGTGTGATTGATAGGTGTACTATAAGGCCCAACAAGGTATCAAATTCCTGTCACTATGTCGACGTGCATGATGTGAATATCAGCTGGACTTTGTTGACCCGGTCACAAAGAGACAAAGACAAACCTGCTGTCAGGATGGGCGCACCTCGATCAGGTTACCTGCCACTGAGAGTTTGTACTGCTCAGTGCAGGGCCAGCAGCAGCAGCATCACATGTATCAATTCACCCAAGATATGACAGGTGACTGGCCCCCTTAAAGCTTTTGCAAATGCATATTTGTGGAAAAAAAGGACGTATCAAAAAAGGAAGGTTTGAGGGGATTAAACCCAACTACTTTAGTGTCTTTCAGCCATTTATTCAACTGTTTAACACAGAATTCAGTCAAACAAATTTATAAAACAGGATTCCACTTATAAAGCCCTTTAGGTTGATTGGACATAACAGATAAAGGCTTCCGTCAGCAAATCTATTCTTACTTGCCAATAAACAGATGGCAGATAACGAATAAATACCTAGTCGATACAGACGCCCCAACCATAAACTGGAGCATCGAGTGTACTGCTGACAGTAGACTGCTGCCATTTGCTACATGATGCCCTTTTGCAGTGCATCTCCTCCACATTGTTTTGCTTGTTTTTCCAGCTCTAAAAGATCATCACTGCTCCTTGGCTGGCACAGAGTGAAACAATTAGAGGAGAGAGCAGTAAAAATGAAAGCCGATGAAGCCATTAATGCTTGGCAGGATGCCTTTAAAGGCCTCTTCTCTCAAGGCCTCCTCTAAGGTACTGAATATAAACTTGGATGACTTTGACTGGTCCTCTCCTTGTTCACAGAGGAGAAACGTGGCTATCTGAAACTGCAAAAGTACTCCCACGCTTCTGAAGTCTAAAGTACAAACTGAAGATTATTAATAGATATGAGATGACGCTTGTTCTCTTGTACCCACAATGCCTGTAATACAGATTCTACTTCAAATACCTCAACTGATTTTTTTAATGGGTGATTTATGCGCTATTCATGACTTGGCCTATTTTGGGGTATCACAACTAAGTACTTTTTCTGGAATAGAGCAAAATGAGACTTTGAAGTATCACAGATATTTTTGTAAACAAATGTAGAATTATTTTTAGGGCAAAGTCTTTGCACAGATGCTTGTGTTCAGACAAAACTTAAGACATAAGGAGTTTGGCTTAAATTGTTAAATGAGAAAGAAACTGCTATTCAGGTAATCTACAGGCACACCTCCCAAAAAACATACATAGCATTTTTCACTTTGCAGGAGCAGAATCATATATATATATATATATATATATATATGGAATCCTGGATGTTTGCACAGGTGGAGAATGTAATTTTATGGTGTCTTATGTCTGGGCAGAGGATGTGGCTCTGTGGCTAAAAGTAAAAAAACCCAAAATAAATTAATTAACCAGCAAAGTCTAAGGCAATACTCAAACATTTCCGGTTTGCTATGAAATGCGTGAAGATTATAAATCTAATACTTTTAAGTTACCGCCTGCTCCAAACTTCTCCCACGCTGATGACAGAAGGATTCCTAGCCTTCCTTCCCACATACAGGTAAACATCACAGGTGTGCAACAGACTGTGAGCTTCTCTCAGACCACTGGGACACTCAGCCACCCACAAGCTAAAAAAAACAACAACCTTAAAACTTTTTCTGCATAAGTTTTTAAAGTATTGCAGAGAAACTGCCTCCCACATACATTGTTCTCCTCCGTGTTGTTGGGAATACACTCCAACATGTGTATGAGTGTAGCCCCGTAGTGAATTTTTCTTGGCAGAGGAAGAAGAGAAATGGTCCCAGTTTGATAGATGTTTCCTCCTCTGGTGAGTTATCAGATCTTTGGGACCCTTTCATTGTGCTTTGTTGTTGCCTCTTATCCCAGTTCAGACATCTGGTTTGGGTGAACTGATTCAAAAATTCCATCAGAAATGTGTTTTCCACTGACTACAGCGTGAAAAGAAATGGTGATAACACTTTTTATCCTCAACAGCAACTGAATGGGTAACACATACAGGTTTTCCCAGGTGCCTCACCGAGTACAGCCGTATTTGCACACGTGTTTAAGTGGTCTGGAGCAGCAAACAGCCACACAGTGAAAAAATGGAACTACTTGCAAATATGCAAGTGGTAACTAAAAGTTATCAAGACGTTCAAGGAGTGCAAGCGAATCGCAAATGGCAGACATTATTAAACACTATAACTCCCTCTGGAATAGTACCCTATTATGTAGGAGCCATTATCCATTCAAAAACAAGCTCGCCTCTATACATTCACTAGTCATGGGGTGGGCATACTGTTGAAGTGACCTCTAGTAGGGATGCAGTGAAGGTTAAGCCAGGACCGGTGTGGCTAACTTTAGAATGAAACCTCGGGGTTATTATTGCACATAAATAATAAGTAAGGTATTAATGCTTAGCATACAGCGAGTTTAACTATAGCTGCACTTTATCGTGTTTTGCCCCCTGGAAGTTGAGTTTTCCTCCACATGTTAGTTGCTGATCAGTAGAAGTTATGCACCAACGGTGCGTCACAGCTTGGCCACTTAAAGGAAGGCTGTACATCTCTGAGTATTACTGCAACGATGTCGCCATGCTTTGACTTACCACTTCAACCACCTTTAAAATCCCCAAGTATGACTTGAGGTACTCCATGTCGCACACTATCCCCCCAAAAACGTTCCGCGAATGGACGGGCTCGGTGGTGGGCTGGTAGGGACTGCTGGCCCCGGAGATCATGGAAGTATTGGAGGCCTCGCCGTCAAAGCCCTCCGTCTCTTCGGTGGTCCTCATGATTTCTGGAGAAGCTGAACTCTTTTTTTTTTTAAGAGAGAGAGAGACAAATGGAAACCGACGCTGCCAGTCCTCCTGGATCTACCTCACTGCGCGGCTTATGTGACAGAGAGCACACTTTGTTCCACGCAAGCTGGGAGCAGATGGGGAAAACAAACCGGACAGTCCACTTCTCGTAGCCACCCCGAGGTGAAACCGCAACGGTAGTTGCTCTTTAACATCGCGTGCAGGACTGGTATAGGATCAGTGCAGCCACCCCCTCCACCTCCAGGCGGTTCCTCCCGGTTCCAGTGTTGCGCCTCTCCAAAACAGCCGCACTTAGAACTATGTTAGGTGGGTCACTTGTTCGAGTCCTTGTGCCACTCACTTTACCACGGACGACTCCGGTTAGTTCGGCAGATCGGGGGGAAATGCCTGCCGTGCTGTGAGACCGAAAAACATTCACCCATTGTGCCCCAGAAGAAGCGAGAGAGATCCGCGCTGTCTCCTGTTGTAAACTTAATTATGCAGCCTCCACAGCAGCAGCAGCAGCAGCGCGCAGTACGGCTGCGTACGGACGCCGCTGTCCCTCGCTGTGGATGGAAAGCAGGCTTGTCTCCGCCCTCCTGAAAACTGCACATTCTTCAGAGTAGGCTCTGCGCCCGGTTTAAGTGCTCCCAAACAGCCTGAAAAACGAATCCAGCCGGAACCACGCCGACAGTACCGAGCTCTTCTCACACACTCACATTCGTCGGTGTGACCGTGCAGCATTTGAACACCAGCCAGGCCTGGTGACACGATTTCTATTTTCCCAAGGGGATTACAGTGTATGGCTGCTTGTCTTTATATGGAGTTTAAAACCCACTGAATATCACCATCATGATCCACATAGCTTTTTTTTCCTCTTACGTTTCATATGTGAACATGTCTAATACAAAATACAGACATATTTCAAATTACATGTTGCCAATTCTCTGCGTATAAAGCAGGTTGGTTTCACCGAGTTATTAAAGAAGTCAATGCAGGTTAGAAATCGTACCATATATGTAAAGTTAGTCTAACTTCAACAAATGAAAGGATAGGCCTAATTTTTTTCAGGGGCATAAGCTGTGCTGTAGAGCCCCCCCGTACTTTACTGCTCTCTCGTGGCGCTAAGCAGCATTAAAGGTTGCCTAGGTAATTGCAGAAGTCCAAAGATGCTGGAAATAACATTTGGAATAAAACATAAAAAAACCCGACACTATGCATGTGACTGGTGTAATACATTGAATTACAACTACAGTATAAATGTGTTGTAACCCTGAACATGGTGAGAAGTTGTCACAATAGGTTTTAGAGATAAATGAAGCACTTAAAAAAAAAATGAGCGAAATAAAATCTGAAATATTGATTTATTTTTGTCCCCTTATTGTCGAGGATCAAGAAAGAAAAATTTCCAATGCCAAATAAAATAATAAAAAAAACCCCACATTCTTATAATATAGGGTTAGGATTAGGGGTATGTAGATCTCACAGGTTGATGTGTGTGACTTAAAGTTGTAACCGTTGCTTTCTCATCACACACAACGCTAATCAAATGTTGTGTACACACACACACACACACACACACACCAACACACACACACGCACACACACACACGCCAACAAAAGTTTGGATTCTTGGTTTTATTGAAGCCAGGGGTCTGAAACATTTTCCTTATCTTTGTCGGCATAATAAGCTAGAATCCGCATGGCAGCTTGAAGGCTACAGAATGTGTGTTACAGACATACAATCAAGCTTCTGAATTATCCCAGGGCACAAAAGTGCAGCCAGCCATGTGCTTACAATGTTTTGATATCCTGAATACAAAAGGACTGGAAGCAGAAGCTCATAGTCTCGTATAGATGTAGACTGTCGATAGTGGTCGAAGGCAATTCAGTTAGGATGAGAAGAGGAAGTTGCTTTCCACTGAATTTGTGTACCAGAAGAAAACAAAAATCCATCTTGGGAGCAAAAAGTAATCCAAGTCCAACTTTCAAGCACAAGCAGCAAGAGAGCACTTCATTCCACTCAGCTACATGCCAAATTTAACAAGTGTGGCCATATTGTTGACAAATTACAGTTCAAACTTCTTTTAAACATAAGTGTGATATGACGAATCTCTGTATTCTGAAACAAAATGAAAAATCATGACCAAAAATGCCAAATGTGCGAACAAATGGGGGTTTATCTGTAGTTTAGCTACAGTGAAAGCTGTACTGGCAGCAATTGTTAAGAGGATTTGTATTAGTTACAATATTGCCAGCAGAAATGTGTTATTCCATAGTTAACCACAAGGGGCCCATTTAACAACCTCAGCAGCAAAATGGCAATTTCTCTGTGCATGTTAACATCTTGTTTCATTCTGAAATGAGGCAAGGCAAAAAGAAAAAGATGCAGTCTGCATCTGCAGCTGTAGCAACAGTGTCCAAAGAAAAGTGCTTATTCCAAAATGCGGCCATGCTGCTCCTGGCTGTTCCGAAATTGTGCTTCATCCACGTCGGCAACGGGCCCTCGAGTGCACGTTTCCCCCCAACCAGTCACAAAAACAAAGCAAAGTAAAAACAATAAGAGCTTCATTTTGTTCAAAGTAAACCCAGAACTGCTGTGTTGAATCACTGTGACAATGCACGAAGCAGACGGTACACTGCTATTCCCTTACAGAGCGAATGTTTGAACAAAAAACCTGCTGACTGTTCAAAGACCAGTTTCAACAGCCAAAACACAATTATGGTACGCCCCCTTCTGTCTGCTGAAACTCCAGACACGGCTTAATAGAGAAAGACATTTCTACCATTTTACAGGGTGTTACTTAAAAAAATGTTATAGGCCAGTCTGAGGTTTGGAATGCAAGGGCTCTATGCAAGAGTTGGACAAAAGAAACAAACAAAAAAAGGCCGCTGGTTAATCTTATGGATGACTACAAATGGAGATAATATGCATCTTTGGTTCTGTTCCAATTCACTCCAGTTTTCATTTTTCTTTTTTGGCTATTTGTAGCAAATAGCTGCTCTCCTATCACTTGCCATTCATTCTGCAAAAGTTACTGAAATACACCATCCATGGGATTAAGTAGGGCCTTGTATAGAGATTTAAGAATGAAAATGTACATTTCATTTTGATTATGGTATCATGAAACCATAAATATTATACAGACAATTTGATATGGTACAGTATAATTTTTGATTAAAAAAAAAAAAAAAAAAGAAAAGACATGACACAAGACATTTAAGCAACCCCTTAAGGACACACAAATTAATTAGGAGCTTTCCCGTGAAGGCAGGGTGCCTGTTGTGATAAACTGTTAGCTGTACATTGAAGGCAAAGGTTGTCATCTTAAATGGGCACTAAAAAGGGCCGGAAAAAACAAAAGACCTGATCTGAAAAACAAAACAAAACAAAAACCCCGAACCAAAACAACAACAGGTTTTCTACAGGGATGAGCTTCTACAGCTACTTCACGTAGAAACTGGGAATGTTTAAACTGACATGCAAAACACAGCGAGAGCAAAACATGTGAGACCAGAGGACGACAGTGGTGTCTAACACTGAATGTTAGAAAATCTCATTTTGTTCAAACCACAGCAGGTAATTTTGTGTGTGTGCCTGTGTGCTTTGGCTGCAAATGAGTGGTTTCAACCACAGTAAGTCTGGGGGACCCAAAGGTTCCATCGTGTGGTTCCTTCTCAGTATCAGCAGCCTTACAGTTTTTATGAAGGCATTCAATCTCTAAACATTATGAACTAGGCCACAGAAATCGTATTTCTGAAGAATAGAAGCGACCACAGGCTTGTTGTACATTAAAAAAAAAAAAAAAAAAAAAAGTAAAAAACGAAAATAAATTATTTGGATGACGAGAAATTGATTAAAAAAAAACCTTTGAACCGATGGTGCTACAAGTGCGTTTCCTCCTGCGCAGACAAGCACCTCTACTATGACACAAACAGCTAACTGTGCGAGGCACTTAGGAGTTATAGTAGGAAAGATGCTGCCCCATCCCCTCCCCCAAATATACCCACCTGTAGCTAAAGAAGCAATTCTGCTGCGACCTCTAACTTCTTGTCAAACCATTTTATTCAAAGAAGCTATCTTAAGAATTTGGACAAAAAAAGCGCTTTATACAAAATCAAGTTAACCTGAATAATTTTTTTTGTATTCGTATTTACAGAATCCTTCGAGATGACTAGGGCGACTGATATGCTATCCGCTAACTGAACATGTCATATTAGTGTCATGGTGTCAGTGGCATTTTTACATGTTACAATGAGCCTTTTCTTTAAACCGATAAATGGTGCACAACATGAAATAAAAAAGGAGGAGGTTTGTATAAATACATCAGTATCATATCCAACATTGTTTTGTAAATATTACATATGCTTGCAAGTATTTGAATTTATTAATGAATATATTTAAATACTTTTCCAAATGCAACCAAATTCCTTCAGTATGACAAGCGAAACCAGAGGAACCAGTATATTGCCACTCTTAAACCTATGAGTAGAGTGTATGAGCCCAGAATCTGGGGGGCCTTCAGCCCAGTAGGTCAGGCTGACTGCCAGGGAGTGTGCACACATTTCCCTAAACTTACAAAATAACATTTACAGTGGAAGAGAGGATAGAAAAAGCCAAGCCTTCAGCACTTATTTCATTAATACCTCCATTTATGTTCTCTTTCTCTTCTCATCTCCACTCCCTCTCCAACCTTCTGATAGCCTTTGAATCTCATTCAGTGAAACCACTGTGTGCTGACTGATACAGGCGTTAGGAATTTGGTCAATTTTTTTTTGTTTTGTTTTTTTATGCTCACATGTACATATATTTTTCCAGAGTATTAACTGGACGATGCAGCTGTTTTTGTTGCCTTCACGCTTCGTTCTCTGTCTGCGGTGGTATATTGTTAGCTGAAACCATGGAGTCTTGCTTGCGAGTCATCCGGTCCAACTCAGCCTGGACATCAGTCAAACCCGGCTTCTGCCCTTGGAAAAAAAGACAGGAGACAAAGCCCAAAAGTAATCTCCTGTAGCTTCTGCGCCTGCTCATAAAAACAGCTTTCTATGGCAAGCAGATGGATGGATGGATGCGGTTTGAATGGTGATGCGTTCCCATGCTGGAGGTTGGTGGCTTGCTGCCACAGTTAACACGCACACATGCAAAACTAATCATCAGACAAAAGGAACATGCATTATCCTGTTGCAGAGATGTTAACACTGCTCAGCGCTGGAACAAAGAGTACATGTTAGTGTTCTCAGGCAGAGATGAGTTATGCAATCATTTCTCTCATGTTTCACGGGGTACAATCAAGCTATCGCACAGCCAATATTTGACTTTGTTACATTTAATATAACAAAGAAAAAAATGTTACCCAAGTTTAAAAAAAAAGATTAATTAATAGAGCTCAAAAGCGGCAGGACAAGGTATGGTGTGAGTGAGATGCAGTTATGATGGGTGGGATGATCAATACAGGCCTGCCACAAGTTTCCTCAGCTGTCAGAAGTTCAGTCTAAGGACAACTTTTTTCTCCTGCTTTAACCTTCTCACTCAGGCTGTAGAGATAAATCTCCAGACAGCAAAATGGTCCACAGTCTCTAACAAGTGTTTGTAATTTAGAGTGCACGCACTCTGTAACACACAGCATCCTATAATCCTTACTGCTTTGGTAAGAGATCAACTGCTAACCTATGAGAGAGAAGGGGTTAAATAATCGCCAACTTCTGTTTTTCACTGAGATCAGAGGTGAAAGCACTGGAATTAGAGGTTGTACCTGTTTTCTTGGCAGAGCCTTGCACTCCAGCTCCCACTGCTCCAGCTCCTGGGCTCCCAGGGGCTCCAGTCTTTTTACTCAACAGACTGTTGAAGAAGTTAGCCAGCACTCCCTCATTGGCAGCTCCCGCTGTAGGAGAAATGAAATGGTGGTGGTGGTGGTGGT